AAGAAGCAGTGACTCAAGGAATACCTACGACAGTCCAGAGCAGTGTCGTAGAAAGTAAGGTATTATAATTCTCATTGGAGAGAAAAACATATAAGATGGGCTCGGTGGCAAGTCGTGCACTCACATGATATGTGAATGTGAGGGATAAGTGTGTGAGGACACAAATCCAAGTGCAAATACATCAAGCATACAAGTCATGAAACATGCAAGATGTTATGCAAACAAACACATGAAGGTGGAAAGTGCAAGGGTAAACCACCTATGACGAGATGCAAAGTGCATAAGGTTGCCACAAAGTAAATATATAGAGTAATGTGTTGTTGGAAGGCACGAATACTCATTATGAACATATGAGGGCATACACTCATAAGTGCAGGACGACGTGCAAGTGTGGATATGATAATGCAGACAATGTTAAAAACATGCAACAAATACGCCACCACCCCAAATGCAAATGATCGACCGATTGGTTTGACCGGTGGAGACATTGATTAATCACATCGATGAACAGTGGTCGATAGATCGAGCGGGCTGGTGACGGGATTGATCGATCATTTGGATCAAAGAGGGTCGATCAGATCGGGGTGTGTGGCTGATTGATGAAGGATGGGTCAATCAATATGATCAGGCCCGTAGCTTTTGATCGATCGAATGGACCGAAGAGGGTTGATCGGGCTGGAGTGATGGCCAAATGACAAAGGAGGGTCAATCAATATGATTGGGCCGATGGCTGCTGATCTACGAGTAGACCGAAGATGGTCGATTAGGCCGGCATGGGCCATCGATCGAGGATGAATGATCAACCAATATAATCTAGCCAATGGCAACCGGTCGATTGAATAGGCAAATAGGGAAATGTTGAACGAGCCGGAGGAGGCGATCGATGAGTGACTATAATGTTTTAATGCATATTTTGAAATTCATGTCACACACATAATGAGAATGCAAAACACATGCAACATGAGAGGCCAAATGATAGATCGTGCTCGTCCGAATGAACTCATGGGTAAACCCTTTGGGCAAATGACAAAATAAAGAGGACAATGCAAAATGCAGTGGGTAGCCACATCCATTTGGTCGGTATGGAAATTCAAAGTTTTGAGACTTTTCGTCCTTTGCGCCCAAATAGTGGATTTTATTCCTCCTATCGTGAGGATGAAATCGTTGGCGCAAATGTGGGATTACGAGGATCCCGACATTTGAATTTTATTCTATAACAAAAAAGATAGTTTTTTCTCTTGGATTCGTAAGGGAGGACACAAAACACCTAATCCTATGGGGATTCCTATAAGAACACAGAACCCTAACCTAATTCCTCTAACATCCATACATAGGAGGCCTCTAGGATCCCGACATTTGAAGCTCCTTTAACTTTCTCTTCCAGGTCCAAGTCCTAAGTCTTCTTTTTCATGAAGAGAGTGAGAGTTTATTTATAGATTTTGTGATCGTCATCCTCTGTAAATATCATATGAATTCAGACCACTGCATCAGGCTGCCTAGAGCTATCCTTTTGACTAAATTATGTTTTATTAACATGAGTGTCTTAATGATATCATAAACAATTGATTATGAGCCGATTCGACGAGCCACTCAATTTGACTATAAGTCTCTCAGATTTATAGTTCATTTGAACATTCAATTCTCATAAAAAATCTCAAATTATGCTTAAACGATTTGATGTGGGTCTCATCAAACTCAAATCAAATTAATTTTTGACTTCATTGGGCTTTCTTTATCGAGAGGGCCAGTTTAACTATAAACTTATTGAAATAGAGGCCCTCAATGGTCTTTAATTTGAACATGAAATAATTAATATTTTAAATATTTTACTATTTATACATGAATTAAATAATTTTTTGAATACCTATTTAAAAAAAAAAAGGGGAATTATGTGGTTTGTCCATGAAAACAACACGGCAGTGTCTGAAATTGTTGCATTCGCGTCCAAATCTTGTAACTCTCACGCGACCTCGCCCAGAAAGTTAATAAGACCCCAATCTTCTTCTCCAAAGCTACAAACCCTACAAATTCACTTTCACCGAACCCTAATTCCACTAAATCCCGCGCCTTCCTTCCTCAGCCATGCCGAAGAACAAAGGAAAAGGAGGTAAGAATCGCAAGAGGGGAAAGAACGAGGCCGACGACGAGAAACGCGAGCTTGTATTCAAGGAGGACGGCCAGGAGTATGCTCAGGTCCTTCGCATGCTCGGCAACGGGCGGTGCGAAACCATGTGCATCGATGGAACCAAGCGTCTCTGCCATATTCGAGGCAAGATGCACAAGAAGGTATGGATCGCTGCCGGCGACATCGTTCTTGTCGGTCTCCGTGATTACCAAGACGATAAGGCTGATGTAATTCTCAAATACATGCCTGATGAGGCCCGTCTTCTGAAGGCCTACGGTGAGCTCCCTGAGAGCACTCGTCTTAACGAGGGCATCGCAGGCGGTCTTGATGAGGAGGACGAGGGGGCTGGTGATGACTACATCGAGTTTGAAGACGAGGATATCGATAAGATCTAGGGCTGCGCTGATTGCGATATGGCAAGTTTTTCTGGTTGAAAATTTCTCTTGCTATCTCCTTGATAATAATTAAATTTTAGGGATTTTTGTTTTTTTTTTCTTGTTTTTCCCTCTGGCAAGGCTCTCTGATAATCAGGATTCGGAAATTTGGTGCTTTGATCAAGTTTCAAACTTGGGTTTCAAACTTGGGTAGAGCTGCCATACTTATGCTGCTGATGCTTATATTTCCATTTAATGTATCGTATGGATATTGTCCTTCAGTTTGTATTTTGTACTGTTATACTGAATTGACAACTGTTTGATTGGCTCATGTTAACTCTACTTTGTTTATATGTTGTTGTATATATTTCCGTGTGTTAATTCATAACGCTGATATGCTTGCAAGACTGTTCTTTTATTTCTTCTTAAATGTATGAATGCTTATATTTGCTGTAAGGTGAGGAAAGTTTGAGCTTTGTTTTTAGAACTCTGGAAATGTTTATGTTAATATTTACTGAGATTGGTGTTTGCATCACCAAAACTACTTTTTAAGTCAGTATTTTATCGTTTCTAATTTTTTACTAAGTGAGGCTGGACTTTATACGGGGCATGCAGTAATTGGAGTCCTGATGCTTTTGCATCATCACTCCTGATGCAATTATTTCTCGTTTAGCAGGGCTTATCTGTCTCCCTTTTCCTCTTAACCTTTTGGGTGGTGTTTGGCTGCATCTTCGATTTACGTTAAAAGTTTCATTCAAAAGAGAAAGCAGAATAAATCCGCCTAGCAATTGGATTTACTGCATCATAAAACATACGAAACTCCGAGGAAAAAAAAAAAAATGGAACGCTAGAAAATTCAATTTAACGGAGCATTATATTTGATTTCCATTTTTTTTAATGTTTGGTTGGATGTAAGCTATTTCCATGGCCAAGTCCTATTAATAGCATGCTATCAAACACTGCTTTTAGTTTCCTCAGTGGCAGAGACTACTTTAGATGAACTTCTTGTTCACTGAACTACTACTTGGTGCTTCCATATGTTGAATGAGGCATTTTTACTTTTCTTACCCTTTTCTTCCTTTTTCTTGCATCATTTTAGCATCTTTATCTCAGCATCACCTTTTAAGCTGCTGTTTTAACTCTGGCGTGTACTGTGAATAGTTCTTGTGACCAGGCTTTACATTCACTGAAGAGAGGCAAAGAGAGGCAAAGAGAGGGAGACAGGCATCAATCAATGGTTTTTAGAGTTTTTTAGTAGAGTTCTTCATCCACTTTTTAAGTTGTTTTCTACACTGGTTTGCGCTTTGAATGTTTTTTATGATCAAGCTTTTAGGAAGCGAATATTACACCACAAACCAGTGTAGAAAACATTACAGCCCGAAATTCTTATCTGCCGGTTAGTGGTATTTGGTGGTATTGTAGTTGTATTTTACCACAATATCATAGCAATATCATCAAATTCCTCACTTGTCTACGCTTATCTTATGAGCACGTAATATTTTTTCAAGAGGCGCGGATCTTGGTTGACTGACTGCTGCAACATTGTTTGTGTAAGCACTTTTCCCAGTTACAAGTAACAATGTCTTAGATTTGTGTTCATGAGTTGGATTGAGGAAGTGATTATGGTTGAAAGATCTGTTTGAAGAATCATTGATGATACTATTTTTTTTTATTCAGTTTTTTTTATTATGTTGTTTTCTTGATATTGCTGTATTGTTAGACTCTTATCTGTGAACTTTTGTTGTGTAGCTTTTTGCACTAACTGGGCTTAGGGCTGTCAAAAAAAAAAAAAAGCTTTTCAAGCTTTTCATTTGGGTTGATTCATTTGGGTTGATTCAGCCTGTGTTCGACTTGCTAAGTAGCTCGTATTTTGATTTTTTGTTAAACAAATGAACCAAACATAGCTCAATTTATAAACCAGCCGAACATAAGTAAAGTTTTATTTTATCATGTGCAGCTCATTTTGCCGAGAGCAAATTAAATAATTAAATAAATAATATATTCATATTGATTTTTATGTTGTATTAAAAAATATTAAATTTTATAGTTTTTAAGTTTTACGAGCTAATTTTGAGCCGAGCACGATCTAAATTAAAGAAATATATTTGAATTGTGTCAAACACGAATATGGTATACACAAATCACTTCAAACATGAGTCTATTTCAAAGGAAAGAAGAAATCGAACGAGCCAACGCGAGTAAGTGCTGGGCTCATTTAAGCTTTTGGATCGTTTACATCAATAATCAAGCTATCAGAATGCCTCAAACAAGATTTCGAAGTTTCATTTTGTTTAATGCTGCTGCTTAAGGTCATGTCGGCCCCTACCGCTTGAAATTAGCAGATTTTTTATTTTTTTATTTTACTTTCTTAAAAAATTGATTGCCTACCAAACTGGTATGTTTGTTATGTTATATGTGTGCTAAATGTTGATTCGGCAATAAATGCTAGGACTATGTTAGAATTTCATTTATTGTTTTGCGGTATTTACATCCATGCCACCTAATTTTTCATGTATTTATATAACTAACATTTAGAAATTTGGGTTGTCAAAACGGCTCGTTGTTCGCGAACAGCTCGTGTTCAGCTTGTTAAGAATCTTGTGTTTGACTCATTCGCTAAGTTAACGGGTTGAACACCAACTAATATTTGTTCGTTCGTGTTCGGCTCGTTATATATATATATATATATATTTGATGAGTAGTATTTTTTAGAAAATTAATCGACTACAAAGCTGCAAAGATTTATAATCAATTAAAAGTATTAATGAAGAAAATAGAATAAAAATTATTAAATTAGATTCAATTGATGTTTTATATCTTGCCCAAATTCTTAACATTTTATGACTACGTGATTAGGGTTGTCAAAACGACTCTTTGTTCGTGAACTACTCATTTTTGACTCGCTAAGCAAAAGAGCCGAACACAAACACATTTTTTGAGCTCGAAATATAAACGAGCCGAACACGAACTGAGCATTATTATATAGTATATGTAGGCTCAGCTCGTGTTCGGTTTGTTTACACCCCTAATTGAAATATATGGTATTATAAACTTTATATTATTATAATATAGATTTCATAAACAGGCAAAATAATGTATTAATTCATTTCTTACATGGTTAGTTTAAATTATACAAATGTTTTTAAGTTAATTAAATCATTGCTCATAAATTTTTCTTAAAAAAATATTTTTGTGATTATTTTTCAGCTGTTTTCTCCTGTTGGTTAAATTAATGTTTAATATTAATAAAAATTAATTAAAATAACTTGTTATATTTTTTATTTTTTTATTTATTGCAAAAACTAGTTATAACAAATCTTTCTGTATGTGTGATGTTCATTGCTAAAATTATTTATTTATTCTTATGGTATTTTTAATGGCCTAGATTTTATTGTGATGGCAAACAATTATGCAATATAAACAATATAAAATGCACCATAGGGCATGGGATTTCATTAGGGTTTATTTTAAGCCAATCTTTCAAAACAAATTAATCTTTAGCCTTCTAATGAATGATTAGTGTATAGTTAGCATGTGATTAAGTGTCTTATCCATAAGGACATACTTAATATAAATTATCATTAACCATTAAATGATGCAAGCATATGTAGAGTTTATGAATTACTAATTAAAATCAATCGCAAAGAATAATAATTAAAGAAATATTTATTGGCAAATCAACATTAGCACATCTATAATCTAACTACGTAATTTTTATTCTTAATTTTTAAAGCAATTTAACCTTTTTTTATTGAGTTTATTATATGATATTTTAAGTTATAAGCTTATTTTATTCTTAGTATTAGATTTAGGTTTGAGATTTATGGTCTGTTTGGGGCAGCTGCTGGTTATTGAATAATTTGCTGATTCACTGATTAAAAATAATATACTGATAAGCTAGGTGCGGTGGCTATTACAAATTTTATTTTTTTGGAAAAGTCAGACCGCTGCTAGAAAGCTGTCACTAAACTTAGATAGGTGCAATGTGAAAACACTGTTTTCAGCGTTTTGAAAACGCTTAAGCTGTCAAAACGCATTTTACCCAAATAGACCAGGTGCGTTTTCAAAACGTTACCGCACCAAATAAGCTGCCCCAAACGGAGCCTTAGTCTGTGATAATAAGTTTCACCTTATAATTAGAATATAGGATGGTTGCCCTTTATTGGTTATTATTAGTTCTCTTTTCGAATCAAATTTGAAAATATTTTTATGATAAAATACATGCCGTAAATTTTAGAAAAACTAGTAAACTTAAAATAAAACAAATAATCAAAATATTAAAGGTAAATATAAAATGGCTTTGAGCACTTTGAAAGATTCTCAAATATCAAAAAATCATACTTTTTTTTTTCCTTTACGTTTCAAATTATTAGGGACACATTTGGGGCAGCATATAAGTGCAGGGACGTTTTTGAAAACACTGCAGCAACGTTTAGTTTGTGTGTTTTGTCTGATTATCCAAAAATGCGGTTTCATTTTTATACTAAACGTAGGTCGCGGGTCGAACCCCGCGGTCAGCCCGTGAGCCGCATTTCAGGATAAGCTGTTTATTCTGAAACACACAAGCTGCCCCAAACACACCCTAGGTCATATCCTTGAAACAAATTTTGAAAATATACAAATATTTGACATGACATTACTAAAGTGTATTTTTAAGGAATAGTATCTCTCTCTGAGGATGCAATCAATCAAAAGAAATTGCCCTTATAACAAATCTATGCAACATAATAAAACAAATTATATTCAATTCAATAATATTAGATAAAAAGAAAATTGAATTTAATTATTTCTTTCACTCAGCTATAAAAATTATTTCGTAAAATTATATTTGCATTTATTGTTTAAAATTGTACTAAGAATGTTCTTCCTATTTTTGGTATAATATAAATGAACCGCTACATAAAATTTGTCCAACAAAATGTCTCCACAATACATATTACAATACAAAAATTCCTTCGAAGAGTAACTTTATCACACAAATTTTTTGTATTTACATATTTATCATCTAAATTTTAATTTTCATAATTATCACTTAATTATTTTCTTAGTACATAAAAATATCATTTTTATTACCTTCTAAGATTTTATTTCTACATATATCTTCGAATGAACGTGAATGCCTAGTAAGTGCCCAGTATTTCTACAGTGCCTGTGCACTTGCTAATGGCGGAGAAAGGGGGCAAGGGCGATCCTCAACCCAAGGGAAAGATTCTGAAGAAATCGGTAGTGGCAAAGCCAGGTAGATGTCCTCTTATTTCCCTAATTTTCTTTGAGAAAATGTGGTTTGGTCAGGAGATGCTCGGCTGTGGCGGTTGCGGCGGCCTCAAGGTTTATTTTTAAGCCGATAGTTAGGGTTTTGGGTTTTGGTTGAGAGGAGAAATTTAATTTTAATTGTTTATTGTTGAGTTGTCTTCCGCGGCGTTTGGTTTTGAAATATTTATCTGGGTTTTTTATATCCTTTTGCTTTACTATCTCATCATGCGATTTCATGGAGGTATGCTGCTAAGGTTGAAGAATAGTAGCGAGGCATTGCCTGATCATGGCATTTAATTTCGACTGATTTTCTTAAACATCATTGCAACTTCTTTTTCATAGTTGGCGATTTACATAATAATCAGGTAGGCTTTTGGCTTTGGCTTTGGGGATATTAAAATTATGGAGGATTCACATATCTAACACCTAAAATTCAATTTTTACATATATAGACCACCTTACATATGCATGAAAAAATGTATTTCACTTTTTAGAAGTTAAAATAGTGGTATTATTTATATGATGTGATATATTTGGGCCGTGTAAATGTAAAAAAGTAATGTTTGAATGCTAGATATGTAAATACATAGAAATTTTTATGTATGTAAATGCCCCTAAAATTATATTTTTTAAGGAATAAATGAAGAGCTAATTTATAATTGCATGCAACCATGCAAGTAAGGGTTTGGTAAATCAAGCATAAAAAGTGGATTTTGTAAGTTCTGAGGTTGTGAAACACTCTAAAATTGTTTTAGATGTCAATAATAACAATAAGTTGAATTAAATTTTGACAACTCATTGGCCTTCTTTTATTGGTTTAGGCAGAATTTGATCTAATGATCTTGGCATAACTTCAAAGATTTGTTCTGATTGTACTACCCAGCACACTTCTGTTGGCCTTAAAGTTAGAGAATTGATGCATTGAATTTGTTCTTTTAGGTGATTAATTAAGAAGCCTAGTTAATTATATGAAGCACTTTGATTCATGTAGGATCAGGTTTTAATTGAGGCAATTGAAGATTGTATTTTAATTAATTATGCAAATGGACTTGAATTTGTCTAATTGATATAAATTCATCATCTTTGTGACTTCATAATGATTAGCCATATCCATTTATTTGTTGTTGGTTTTGTGAATCCTTGTTTGTCATTTATTCATGTTGACCGCTTCTTGAATTGTTAAACCTATTATTCATAAATCATAGCTAAAAACTTCTATTCATGTTACTTGAGCTCTATCTTTTCATTTCTATCATATGACAATTATTAATCAACTGTCTGGTGAGTGCATTTTCTTTTTTTGATTGTGCATGTTTTTTGCCATATCTTTTTTCAACTATATCATCTTTCATAGAGGTTACTTCGAATATTCCTCTGATACAATCCTTCTTTATTTTCTTATATATTTATCTTAACATTTGCTACCTTTGATTGAACCATAAATAAAATTTTCCAACCCAGTACTCGGATCTTTACAACAAAGTTGGTATTAATTGTAGTTTAATAATATTTAACTTGAAATATTCATGATATCCTTTTATTGTATGATGCATCTCAGCTTTTTTTCATTTTTTGTTCGGGGAATTTGCATACTTATCGTTATATTTACATACGCTGTTACAAAACTCTAATTAAACCACCAACATTTATACATCGTTTCAACAAGGGATATGTATCAAGAGGTCTAACAAAGAAAACGTAATGTGCCATATCTGACTAGAAATAACATAGAAGATTTACAAGAGATGCATTGTTTGAATAAATTAATAGAAGCTATATTGCATAAGGATTCTCTAATTAGTCTGGTAAACTTTCGTAAGCATATTGTTAAATTCAAATTTATCAAACATTTAAAAAATAGAAAGTGTGCCAAATGAATAAAAACAATCCACATGAACTCCTCAGTTACCAGAGGACAGTGACTATTCCCTAAATGTGGTACTATATTGCTGTTAAAGGATTTTCTGTAGGTTTTTGTTACAAACTATTGTTTTATTTCTTACAATGTTAGACAATATACTAGAAGCAATTCCATGTGAATCTATCCTCTGACAGAATGCCTTTCTGAAACCAATGAAGTAGGTACACCTATACCATCAATAGTTCCAACGGTATCTTTACAGAGATTATGAAATTATGTGTTTTGTCAAAAGTTAGAAGATCATATTACATGAATATGTGGATTATAATACTTTTGGAGTGGCTAAAATTGGTCGTTATTGTGGAGGTGATTATGACATGCAATATCACCCGGGATAACATTGCAAAATTATTCTCGAATGAAATGATAGCCTTAAGTTTCGATTTTCAGTCTGAATAGTTTCTAAGGACTGTTAAAAGTGTTCATATAGTTGGCAATAACTATGAGCATGTACAACCATTCTCGGAAATATTCAAAGGCGCTCACCGGTAGGCATATTTTGTGGAAAGTGAGATCTTGATTGTCATGGATATCTAAAAGATGTGTACACGCAACTAGTGGTAGTTTGAAGCAATTTTATCTCATAGTTGAATGCATAACTAGAACTTTAGCTATGTGGATGCGGGAGCGTCGGTTCCGCATTTTTGTGGGATCACGAGAAGACCATGATCATGTACTGTAGGGGAGCTTCCAGAGCCGCCCGTTTTTTTTTCTATTTCAGCTTTTTCTTTCTTTTTTATTTATTTCATAATTCTCTTTTTTTAATTAGGTTATTTTCCTATTAAAGGCCTATTTATAGGTGGTATTTTGCTAATTTTAAGGAGAACTTTTGTTTTTGTGTGTTTTGGAGGTTATAATATCTAAATTCTTTTTTAAGAGTGCTATAGCCTATTCTTTTTGCAAGTGTTTTGTTTGTATCTTGTTCAGGAACATATGGTGGAACCTCATTGGCTCCCGTACTTCATCATTTTGTCGTTCAAACACTGTTTTCAGTCTAGACAGTGGCCAAACTCCACCAATTTATTGTCCAACAATAGATTTCACCCCTATCCCCTTTTGAACGTCTTGTTCGTATGATTCCGCAATTACCTCTCCGTAAAACCTACTTCCTAAATACCTTATAGGAGCCATAGAACATTGTCATTTAGTATCAGAGCTTGAAAAATCCTAACTTGATAGGGATTTATCTTTCCTATGCATAAATCTAAAATCTACATAACCTAAATCATGAACCAACTCAATGCCCAAGTCATTCTTATTATAATTCCTTGCTCTAACCTAAAAATTCAAAATCTAACCTTTTTACATACACAAAAGATTCACTCTGATACCTATCACTAAAACTCTAAGCCTCGACCAACTTTTGATCTACAATCCTATACTCGTTGAAAACTTGATCGAGAGAAAATGACACAATGCCACCTAGGATGAACTTGCAAAGAAGTGCCCAAGAGCTTATGATGAAAGATATGCAAAGAAAAATCCTCCGACTACAAAAAAAAAATCAGCTTTTGAGAGGAGACAATCTAGAGAGGTCATCCATAGCCCCAATAATGACTTACCGGATCGAGAGGAGGAATTGAATCTTTTCTATCAAGAAGTTTCTAAGAATGAAGAACCAATACCTCAACAATTCAACATGGAATATCAGAGAAGTCAAGATTTTTGAGTGAAGATTGATTGATCGGATTTTGACGGTTACATGGATTCGAACAAGTTCATCAAATAACTCAAAAATGTAAAACAAGCTTTTGAGTATAATGACATTTCACCTAACAAAAGTGTCTAGTTAACTGTTGTCAAGTTAAGAATGCTTTCTTATGGTGGGTGAACTTGAAACATCTTTGACAACAAGAAAGGGAAAAATAAAATCACTATTTGGTCCATGATGAAATGAGAGATTCACTGTAAGTACCTACCGACACATTATAGACATGATGCATTTTTGAGAATCTATCAGCTATAATAGAAAGATCTCTCAGTAGAAGAATACACAACTGAGTTTGAGCAGCTTACGTTAAAGTGCGAACTTGTGAAGCTTGATGAGATTATCATAACTTCAATAACTGGAAGATTCAGATCGTTCATTGGTAATGTGGTAGAGTTGGAATCCTTGTGGAAGTTACAGGATGTTCAGACCGTGACTCTGAATGAAAGTGACAACACAACAATATCAGGTCCATATCACCCTTCAAATAATGTTCGGTTGAACATCAAGAGTATACCCATTGGAGCACACTCAAGCTGGCCCCTTCTGAAAAAAATCAGTTCAGAATTCGAGAGAAATGGTAAGCACTCTCAAATGTCGTCCCAAAGAAGTGTTTCAAGTGCTATGGTTTTGGGCACATTCCATTTGATTTCCTAAATAGGAGAGAGATTTTTTTTCACTAAGCTTGGATTAGTTGAAGAACTGGACAACGACATATGAGAAAATGAAGATGTCAGAAAGGAGTATCAACCGGCAAGAGAGAGATGCTAGTGATTTAATTGGTCCTTTCATATGGACAAAATGCTGCAAAGTATTGACGAATCAAGTAAGTATATGTGTCATCCAAGTAATATATGAAACAGAGTCTGTGTATCGATCCCATAAGGAGCAAGTGAATTTTCAAAGTGTGAAAATTTCTAGCCTATTAGTTTCTAGTCTAGCTTGAAACTTCAATTGTTGGTGACTTGTTGAAAGTTTCTAACTTAATTTTTTGAAAATGAAAATTCTAATTTAAATTGTTAGAGGTTAATATATCAAGTGAAATATCCCGGTTCGGATCCTAAAAATTTAGGGTTGACACAGTGATACTTAAGAACAAAATTCTTCCCTTGAAATGTGCATGTTGTATTACTATAACAAAAGGATCACAAAAAAAAAGGGAACCAAGCCCTTACTAAATATGAGCTCGGTCAAAATCAAGAGAAAAAAAAAGGAAATTTGAATTATAAACATTCCTAACAAAAATGCTACCATATATAGCATTTTGAGCACAAATATGAGCAACTATATTTTGTCTTCTATCTTTGTGTTGGAAAAGAACCTGTTTGAAGGAGGTCAAAAAAGAGAGGTCTTCAATGTCAAGCAAGTGTATCCACCGAGTACCGGTTGTTATAGCATGTTGAAGCTAGGTGATGGTGTTCATGTTGTCACTTCCAATAATAATTTCCCTGACTTCATACATCCAAGGCTTTAAATGGCGCTTGATAGATAGGACCGCTTGGAGTTCAACATGAGCACTGTTCACATGAGCGCTGTTCCAATGTTCAATAGGATGAACGATGGCCAAAATCATGTTACCTTTCTCATTTCTAATAACAATGCCAATGCCACCAGCATAATTTGGGGTTTACCACAAAGAGGCATGCGACAGTCGAACTGACTGGTTGGTGCCCCATTGCTTCGAAAAATGGAAATTCAGAGTGGAGAATAGCGCTTCCAAAGTTGATGAAGCAAGGACTGTTGGAGCACCGAAGGAGGTTTCCGGTGCTTTTTAGCATTTATGGCTTGCCATCATTGGTAAACAGCTTTGCCAAAAAAGAAGAATAAGACCGCAATTATCTTTTTGTGCTTCCGTGGCCCCAAAGTAAGCTCCTGCAGGCTATCGAATCCAGGAGTAAAATAACCCCAATGCTGCAGTTTGAGTTGGATATCCTGTAGGACTTTGCATGGAGCAAGAATATGTCGTTCTTCTTCATCTTGCATTGCATCCCCACAGGCTTTCTTGTCCTCAGCCAAACCGCTCTTAAACAGCCAATTCTTGGTAGGAATGGCGTCCAGAGTGAGCTGCCACCAAAAGAAATTTTCACGGGGGTGTATTTTGTGTTTCTTGAGCCATAAAAATCTTCTGTGCTGATCACCAATAGTAGCCTCGTGTGCAGGAGCTCGATTTGATCATTGAGATGTCGGTTATATATTTGGATTTGAGAGATGCACTGAAATAGAGCTTCCCCAAAGTATAGTTGAAGTTTCTAAAGGTCCTATGTGCCGTTAGAAAGAAGCTGCTCGACCTTCAATTGCTTGGTTCATCCAAGATCCACTTATGGTTCAGAATGCTGATGTTTTTACCATTAACAATTTTCCATCTTACAATAGGCCGCAGGTGTTGCACCCCAACAATGATAATTTTCCAGGTGATAGAATTACCTCTTTTATAAGAATCTTTTCATATGTTATTTCCATATTTCGGTTCCAGCATTTGGTGAAGCAGAGAATCACGATTGGTAGAATAATCGCAAGCAAGTTTGGCCCGAAGCAGTCCTTGCCATCTGGTGGGTGCGTGAAAGCCCAATCCACCCATAGCCTCAGGCTTGCAAAGTTCCGCCCAGGCAACATAGTGTAACCTCCTGGTGTTACCCTCTTTGTTCCATAGAATGTTTCTGCAGGATTTTTTAATGCCTTGAAGAATAGACGTTGGCACCTCAGTGTGAGTAGACATATAACTTGGCATCGATAGTAGAAGAATTGATAGAGGGTTGTTCCACCCGCAAGGGAAAGGTGGCGAAGGTCCCATGTATTTAATTAAAGATTGATCTTCTGGATAAGGCTTTGGAATTTTGACCTATTTAATTTTTTAAGGGAGAGAGGGATTCCCAAGTATTCCATATCATCAACACGCCTGAAGTGAAGAAAGTTGGTAACTTTTTTTTTTTCCCGGGGTTCGTGAGCTTACTAGCAGATTTGTTGCAGTTAATTTTTTTCCCTGTCCTTTGCTGCAGTCTTGAAGGATCCTATAAATTAACTTGGCAAGTCTCAAATTAGCATCAGAAAATATCAATATGTCATTAGCATAGAGGAGGTGAGATAAACGAGGGCAATAAAAAACCTAGGATAATCAAACAGTTTAGTTCCCTAAATCTGGTGAAATTCCCAAAGAATGAGTATTTCCTCAAATAATAATACAAAGACTACAACTACAAGCAATATTTCTATTCTTTTAGTTAAAGAACTACCCTAGTTGTTCCACTTCGAATTCTTAACCTCAAAGATAACTTGTTTTAATTCTTGAAATCACCAGATTGAAGGTAAAATAAGATTAAAAGGATAAAATACCACCATAAACATTCAACGAGCAAATGACGTATCTATATAAAAAAATCCTAAATTTTTTTATTCACCAAATATGGAGAAAAAATAGATTTAGTGAGTACTCATGCCTTGAAATGACAAAATGAATGATTTATTTATCAAAGTAAATAAATATACAAAGTTTAAGAATAAAGAACCAGATTACAACCTTACGATGCTAAATTATATTCCTCTTCCACCGATCGTCACTATTTCCCTCAATCTTCTTTCCTTACAGAAATCTCGATCTCTTATCTCTCCCCCTTACAAAATCTCACTAACGACCAAAGTCAAAAATGCGAGAGATCTCTTGTTTATGAAAGATTTGGCCTTTAGTAGCAGCGAGAGACTCCACGATGGCAAAAACCACCTTAGCTCCTATATTTCAGTTTGGTAGAGCTGGGGTTTCTTCTTGGAGTGTCAGAGTGTCACTTGCTCTCTAAAGAAGCATGCTGATTGAGTAGGTGACGTTGTGGCATCAAAAGAATTGGCGCGAAGGTTCTAGGGAAGGGTTCTGAATGGGGCGCCTAGGATCCCCATACCTGGTGCCTTGACGGCAGATACCCAATTACCATCGCTCAAGTGGCTCCTAGGCACCCAACAGAGCCTATGCGCCCATGAGGAGCGCCTAGGCGGTAATCTGCCCTTGGTGGATTGGGTGCTCCATTAGGCTTGTATGTGACCCAGTTTCCTACAAGCTCTCATGATTACATTTATTTGTCGATGTGTCTTTAAAGCTCTCATGATTACATTTATTCTACAATTGTATAAAGAAACTTGAAAAAAATATAAACAGGAACAAATAATAAAGGAAATTGTAAGAAAGTTTATACAATATTTATCACATAAATCACAAATCAAAATCCCCCAAACTCAGACAGTAGTTGTCCTCAAGGAATTTCAAAACATAATATTAGAACTCAATAAAATTAGAGAAGACTATAAATTAAGAATTTTAGTGATTTTTAATAATTCAGTAATTATTTAAATTAAAGTGCGAAGGTATATTCCTACAAATGCAATTCTCATTGCAACTCAAATAGCGTGATATAATTATATTAATATTAGAACTATACAATTCTTAATTTTTTTAAGTGGAGTCAGAATTTCATAAAGTTAATACTTCGCACTTAAATAATGTTGATTATGTTATTTTTAAGTTAACCACAAAATTTCAAGGCTAAGTTTGGAAAGCTAGCTTGTGATCAAGGTGACACAAAGGTTCGACAACCGCAATCTCTTCTTTGCTTGTGAGAGAAGTCTACCCCTTTACACTGCAATCCAGACGATTGCTTCCTGCAACGATCCTATTGGCTTTCTTGCTCATGCAACGATCCAGTCTCCACTGCGAACCTTCCCAGAATGTAGAATGCACTGATACCAATTTGACACAAAACACCGTAAAAATTAGGGAAAATATAATATATTTTATTTCAAACCGAAACAAAACAATCCCAAATAAATAAATATAAGCACCTACAATTCAAAGGTAGTCGATCTCTCCCAAAGCCTACAATTCGAGAGTTAGGAAACCCCTGCTAAACTTTAACTCTAAAACTTGCAAGCCTAATCTTATGCATGATCCTAACCCTAAACATATTAGCCCTATTTATGCTAAACAATAATAAATAACAAAAGACTTAAGTTGCTTTGGTGCACAAATGACTAAATCGTCCTTAGGTACCAGGACAACAGATTTCAAAAACCAAACAAACAAAATTTGTTAGGTAGGGTTGTTCCGCCTCTCGCTTATTTTCTTAGAGAATTATTTCTGCCTTTAAATAAACAAAGAAAGGTACAAGTAACCTTATCAATAAAAGTTATGACAGGAAGAGAGACCTCAAGCTTTTTTTTAAAAAATCTTCATGCATTGTTAAAATAATAATTATTCCATTTCATTTTCATTAACCGAGGAAGTAAAAAAAACTGTGCCATGCTCAAATAGCCTACTGTTTGTTAATTAGTGATGCGATGTTGAGTGAGTTGTGCATCACCTTATGCACTGATAATAAGTATTTTTTTTGGTGCGTGATAGAGAAAAATTAGCAACACAATACTTTTTGGAAAATTTACATAAATACCTTACAATTCTTATACATTTATATATTTAATACCTAAAGTTTGATATTTACATTTATAATATTTTGGTGCTAGAAACATATATGCATGAAAAGGTGTTTTTCACTTTTATAAGTTAGTAATAATGATGTGTTATTTGATTTTAAAGATTTGAGTGTATGTTTGTAAATATGAAATTTTAGGTGTTAGATATATGAATACACAAGAATTGTGTGGTATATATCTATAAATGCCCTTACTTTTTTTTTTTATGTTATGCATCCTTTAATTAGTAACACTTTGCTGATGCTTTGTTTTCATTGGAGACAATTTTTTTTTTTCCATTTTTTGTGATTGTGTTAGCTTGTCTGCGACCAAATATTTTTTATTGAAGGCTAGGTTGTGTGTTATGAATTATAATGTGAATGGCTTGTGAAGTTTTAGAGTTATGATACTATTGCCATCTTAAAGATAATGAATATTCAGTTAATTTGAAATCATTCTAATCGCATGCATCTTCCTTTCCAGTGATTGAACTTCATTACGTGAAAAATAAATGTTCGTAATTGTATCCACTCTAAATCATTTTTTCCATGCAGGAAAACCTAGTAAGGAGAGCCCATCAAATTTATTGGAAATAGATTCCTCTGACTCCGAATATGAAGGTTCGAATAAATTTTCTGCTTTTGGATTCTTCTAACTGATTGATGTCTCGTGAGTATTGGAAAGTAAAAGAAATTAAATAGCTGTAAACTTGGTAAGGTTAGTCCAAATGGGTAATAATTCATACTTCAGGTTTTGTTGATATAAAAAGTCCGAGTGCAGCAAAGGGAGATGACAAAGGATTTTCTGACCTAAAAACTGGTAAGGTATCGTCTGCAGGTCTAAAGTCAAGTGGTAAAACTTCATTTGAGAAATCCTCAGGTAAATTGCTTTTTTTTTTCTTTTTTTTCTCTGATCTACTATTTTAACCATTTATTTCTGCATCACAAGCTTAAGTTTTTATATTTGAATTTTGTAAGATTATACTCAATAAAATAGCCTGCCTGTGGCATTGAACTCCTTTTATATGTCATCAGATGACCAGGGCAAAGGTGGAAAAGCTTTTAAAGCAGGAAAAGGTGGAGGAAAGGGAGGCCTACCCCAAACAAAACCGGCCAAGTCTTCTGTTGTGGACAAGGAATTAAAACTAGAACTTGGTAATTTTTTTCTAAAATCAAGGCTCTTCTGTATCTTTTTACTCCAAGTATATGATTGAGATATGCGGACTTTTGTCCCGAGCATGTGAAAATTAATTTGTAAGTAAGAATTAAGCATTGAATATGAAAAATTTTAATTTTTGATTAAATGCGGGTGTGTAGCAAATTCTTTGCTCTTGTTCTTTGGCGCTTCCTTTTGGCTGCCGTTTTGGCTTCTCTGTTTAGGGTTCTACAGCTCTTTTTTGCTGCATTTCTGTGATTTTTTTCTTGTTTCTCCCTTTGTTGCTTGTTTGGCTTTTTGTGCTACTGGATGTTCAAGATTGTTCAGTTTTTTGCTTTTTAAATTGGCTGAGATTCATTTTGGTTTGTTGCTTTGATGTTTCTTTGGAAGGTCTTTTGTTCTGTTGTTATTCGATGAGGATTATAAGTTTGATATTTGAGGCATGCAAAGAAGGCCATTTATGGTTTATAAATTTTCCTTTGGATTCCCAAATCCTTCTTCTAGGATTCAATTAGTTGATCTAGTGTGAGGCTTGAAATTTTAGGAAAGGCTATCTACCTCTACAATGATGAGCCTGCTTTTTGTCTTGTATTTCCTATAAATCATTTTTTTCTAATGGTTGAATATGATAATTTATTAAAATTCCATAATATTTTTTTCTTTCTTTTAGCATAAAGTTTCATTTTTTTAAGTGGCTTTCATTGTTGATAATTTCATTATCATTAATTTTTAATCAAAGGTCATAAATATTTTCTGATTTAGGGTACGTTTGGGGCGGCTACTATTTTTCCAAGAAGCAACTGTAAAGTTTTTTTTTCCAAGAAGCAACTGTAAAACTGTTATAAAACTGCTGATGGAGAAGCAGGAGTCTGTTTGGAGATATGTTGTGCTGCAACTATTTTTAATGAGAAAGACTGTTTTACTCCTATAAATGTAATATATTTGAATAATTTTGGTTTTTAGAATAATTACAACAACATAACAGAAAGAAGTCTTATTACAAAAAAAAACTTTAGTACTATACAAAATTCTCTAATACTCAAAAAACTGAACATTTATTTCATGCATATAACTACAATAATGAGGACAACCAAAATAACTAGCAAGCCTAGAATGACGTTCATTTTCATGTCATGGCGATCAAATCTTCGGGATAATTTCTTCTCCATAACAGCATTTCTCTAGAACTGATTACTGTCCGGAGTGAAGTCATCTGTGTCATCAATCAAATGAAAATAATTACAATCTTCAGGTGTTCTATTTTTGGGACAACATAAAATTTCATCCCGTAGTTGTTTTCCCATCTTGATTGGTATCAACACACTGCATGCCACAATAGCAAGATGAAACTCTCGAAGTACCCGATGCTCTTGAAATCATGTTTCCTGTTGTTATAATACACTATGACTTCAATTGATAAAAAAGTAGATATGCGGAAGAAATATTAAAAAATAAATAGTTTTATTATAAAAATAAAAGTTAGGACATATCAAGAAAGCTACAATACATATTGCTACAAATATTTAGAATATATACATCCACAAATCCAACTTACAGTTGAAATAAGAGTCATCAATAAGAAATCAATAGGTCATCCTACATAAATATAGTTGATGTGTTCACCAAAGCATCAATAATCACTTCTCTTAACTGTATCATCTCTTGCACGTCTTCTTCCTCAGAATTGTTATACTCGGTTGTACTAAAATCCTCATCAAACAATGAATTTCGGCCTAATGTTGGAATTCTTCCTTTGGCATGAAGGTAGGATCTTCATCTAAGATCCTGAAATCGATATAATCTTGGGATGGATGCCTCCATATAAAATTATGAAGGGTTATTGCAACAACTTTCTTCACCTATTATTTGAAAGTGTACGCTGACATATCTTGGAGTATGACTCACTTTTTTCATATATCGAATGCTCTCTCAATGACACTCCGTAATGACGAGCTGTGCGAGCATTGGATGTGATAATGGTGCATGTGGTAACGAGCTGTGATATCTGCTCAGATAAATGTGTTGCCTCGGTCTCTTTTTTTTAACCTTTCTTGGTAGAGGGTGCAGGGCGCTTTGATTGACTAGATTCAACTTGTTCTCTCTCAGCTAGTGAATCTCCTTGGACTTCGTTGGAATGAGCAAATTCGGGCTTATCCAAATTTTGGTTGGAGTTCTGTGTTGTAGCCTAGATATTAGTGCCTGTAGCCCCACAACACTGAGGAACATGGTATCGAGCTTCTCCTCCAGCTCAAAGTCAATGCCAGAAATCTAAATATTTTTGCATTAGACAATACCTATATTGTTGAAATTCGATTTCAAATAAGTCGCAATAAAATGACATTTAAATTAAATATTGTCTGCTTATTTAAATTTTTTTTCACCGCCACTTCTCTGATGCATTAACTATTTTTTTAACAGAGTTCCAATCTAATGTGGTTGCCCCTCTTCAGCTCTTTTCACAATTTCCAATCTTTCTCCAGTTTATCCTATTTATTTTTCAACCGAGTATTGTCATATTATCTACCTATTTTTCCATGAATGTTTGTTATGATATTTTGCCAACCCTCTTTGTTGAAGAGTGTGGACGCTCTATTACCAATATCTATCTCTCTCAAGCAAAAATTATAGAATATGATCATTGTCTCTCTATCCCAATGACAGATATCTTTCGTTCTTTTTGTTTACCCATCTGATATATCATGCAAGGAAAGCACTCGACGTAACAAACAATAAGTTATATAAAATAAAAAATTTCATAAAGAACAAGATATTTGAAGTAGAGTTCAGTGAGATCAATTTATCAGAGAAGGCTTCATCCAACATCACCAATTGTATCATTAAGACTTTAAAACCATGTATTGTTTGTGGCAAATAGTGCGATGTGTGATCTAAGACCAGACAATATCTTTGGCAAATAGTGGGATATACGATCTAAGAACAGATAGTTTTTGTGGTAGTTTCTATGGTAGTATCTGCAACATAGAGGTAGGGATAATTAAATGAATGAAAATTGGTGATTGGTTGAGCCCTTTATTTTTTTTCCATCATTGCACTACATAGCATTTCAAAAACAAAATGCATCACAACCGCACCCCTCGAAACCTTCAATGCAAAACCCAAGTGAACAAATCGATCAATTTGAAGGGCCAAGCATGAAACCGTCACCATCTTAGAAATAGCAAGAACAAACCATCATCACATAATTCATATTTAAATACATATCAAACATTTTCCCAAGATATGTACAAAGATGTCAACATTAATTTCATTTCACCTTCTTTTCTTCAATCTGAAAATGCTTTTTATGCAGACAATTATATGCATTGTTGGTTATTTTCAAAAAAATATTCACCAGAAATTATTTTGAGCTAATACAAATATAAGAGTTTAGGTGTTAGATCAGTCAATAATTTCATTTCAGATTCTCTTCTTCAACCTGAAAATGTTTGTTATAGAGACAATTATGTGCACTGATGGTTGTTTTTAAAATATTTTCATCATAATTTGGGCAAAATAAGATATTCGAATTAGGGGTTATAAGTAGCCAAAATAGCGCCCCAAACACACCCTCATAGCTCAGTGAGATCACTTAATCAAAGAATGCTACATCTAAAATCACCAATTTTATCATTGAGGTTTTAAGATCAAGTTGTATCTGTGGTAATCAGTTGCATGTGTAATCTAAGACCATGTTGTTTTTGTGATAAGTATTAGTTGTCAATTAGAAAATTGATTGTTTGTGACCGAACCATTTGATATTTATTTTCCATTATTTCTCTACATAACATTTCAATTATGAAATGCGTCACATGCCCAAAAATTTCAAATTTACATCGGCTTAAAATAATTTCAGATGGAGATATTTTAAAAACAACCCACAATGCACATAACTGTCTCCATAAAAATAATTTCCAGATTGAAAACGTGAAATAAAATTAATGACTAATCTAACATCTAAACTTTATTATTTGCATTGGCTCACAAGAATTTTTTATAGATATTTTTTAAAAACAACCAATAATGCACATAACTGTCTCAATAAAAAAACATTTTCTAATTGAAGAAGAGGAGGTAGAATGAAATTATGCACTGATCTAACATCTAAAATTTCATATTTGCATTTGCTCTAAACAAGTTCTGATGGATATTTTTTAAAGACAACCATCAGTGCACATAAGTGTCTCCATAGAAAACATTTTCAGATTGAAGATGAGGAGGTAAAATGAAATTTCTGATTGATCTAACAACTAAATTTTCATATTTGCATTGACTCACAATAATTTTTTATGGATATTTTTTAAAAACAACCAGCATGTACATAACTGTCTCCATAAAAAGCATTTTTAGATTGAAAAATATGAGGTGAAATGAAATTACTTATTGATCTAACATCTAAAGTTTCATATTTGCATTTGCTCAGAACAAATTTTGATGGATATTTTTTAAAAACAACCATTAGTGCCCATAATTATCTCCACAAAAAGTATTTTAGATTGAAGAAGAGCATGTGAAATGAAATTACCAGTTGATCTGACATTTGAACTTTCATATTTGCATTGGATGGCAACAATTTCCAATGAATATTTTTAAAAATAGCCCCCAATACACATAACTGTCTCCATAAAAATATTTTTCAGATTGAAAAGGAGTAGGTGAAATAAATGTACTGACTGATCTAACAACTAAACTTTCAGATTTTTGTTTACTCAATAATTTCAGATGGATATATTTTTAAAAAGGCTCACAATGCACATAATTGTCTTTATAAGAAGCTTTTTAAGATTGAAGAAGAGGAAAGTTAAATGACATTATTGGCTGATCTATTATCTGAACTTTCAAATTTGCATTGACTCAAAACAGTTTAAGATGGATATGCTTTAAAAACAACCCGCTGTGCACATAATTGTCTCCATGAAAAATATTTTTCAGATTGAAGTTGTTATGAAATGAAAATACTGACTGATCTAACATCTAAACTTTCATACTTGCGATATTTTCT